AAAAGGCAGGTCATCTGGCTGAGGGAGACCATAATGTCATAACGGTGTCTAAGGATTCTCACAAGTTCATAATGGTGTCTAGGGATTCTAAGACAGAAATTTACCGTAGAATAAGGTGACCAGATTTAAAGCGGGACACCATTGAGTGTGTGTGTGTGTGGGGGAATCTTGATTAAAAATTTGGTCTATGTGGATCAAATAGACCATTCCCTAGCTTGTCGAAATCGGGACGTCTGGTCACCTTACTCTAGACACAACTTCCTAAAAGGCAGGCCCAGCCCTTTCGGGTGGTGTTTGCAAGTGCTGTGCATCCCGAAGGGGTGCTACTTGGGGGACAACTCATGTTAATCATCCATCCAGCTGTGGTAGAGAGCAGCGCCCCTTCCCCTCCCCGCCGCTCCCCTCCCCGAGAGAGGCGCAAGAGATGTAGCCCAGACCCTGGCCAAGCCCACGTGCACCCTCCCCAACTTGCATGTTCGATAAAGGCGAGTCACAGAGGCGACGAGGCTAATCTGTTTCCTTTTGTCAGCCTTTCTGCAATCTATGGCGGAAATTCATCCTGGGTCTTCTTCTGTGAAGAGGAGACAAGGGTGCACCTTCCCAAGCTCCTCAGGACCCTTGGGAGGCACGACTCTGCCAAGGTGAGGAGAGCCCCTTGTGGGAATTGCTGTCGCAGGACGGTGGGTTTGATGGAAAGGCTTCTGAAGCCATTGAAAGCCGTTTGGGACCCGGCGTTGTCAGGAAGGAGGAAATCACTCTCAACTCCCTGGAGGCTGTGCTCCGGGACTCCTCCCTGCACACCACACTACTCTGCTCTGCATGCAGCGGCTCCCCTGGAGGCCTCCCGCTTAGGGGAAGGGGCTGCCTGTAAGGAGCCGATTTCCAGTGAACACGGATGTGCCTTAGCAGTTTGGGAGCCTTCAAAAAAACCTGACAGCATAGCATTCGGAAGCCGTTGATGTGGAAGAAGGGTAAGCAGGCGTGTCTTGGTGTATTAGTCTAGGTACTTTGGAGAAACAAATCCACAGCGACTCATGTATAAGAGAGAGTTTTATGTAAAGAAAAGGTGCATCACGAAAACATCCCAACCCAATGTTGCCCAAGCCCACAAGTCCAACATTAACCCATTAACCCAACACCGGTCCACAAAGTCCTCCACCTCACA